GTCTGGTTGTGGGGCCTGAACTCTGGGCCTGGGCGCTGTCCCTCAGCTCTTCAGCTCAAGGCTAGTGCTCTACCACTTGAGCCACAGCGCCACTTATGGCTTTATTTTTTCTGCTTAGGTGGTGCTGAGGAATCGAACCCACAGCCTCATGCATGTAAGGCAAGCGCTCTACCACTGAGCCAACTTCTCAGCCCTCCCACCCCCGCCCCGAGTGAGGCTCTTATCTCCAATGAACGACCAGAAAACCAGAAGTGGCGCTGTGGCTCAACGGGGAGAGCTGAGGGACAGCGCCCAGGCCCAGAGTTCAGGCCCCACGACTAACCAAGAAAATAAAAAAATAAAATGATAGAAACCCCTACCCTTCCACGGGGGTCCGTCCAGCGCACACGGCCCCGGATCCCTCCGGGACTAGGGTGACCCTATTGCTGCTCCCTGCTTCTCTCCGTCTTCGCACGGCTCCTGTCTGGGAGCCTCTGTCGGGGCTGGGTGGGCTGGGTGGGCTGGGGGTCATCTTGCCGTTGTGACTCAGTGCTCACCAGCCCCCCCCCCCACTGCTGGCTATCTGTGGCTGGTGTGGGCTGCCCAGGCCAGACAAGCCCACGGTGTCCACCCAGTCACACTTGTTCCCCGCGATGTCTCCTCCAAGTCAGGGTGCTCTGCTCTCCCTCCCAGGAGCACGCTTGCCTGCAGCCACTCCTGGGAGCCGTGAGGAAGCAGAGGTGGAGCTGTGGTTGCTTCTCAGCCCCCACTAGCAGGACGCCTGGCCGGAGCCCAGGAGGAGAGGCCCCAGGGGTGCCAGGACACAGGCAGAGACAGAAGTGTCCGGGGCCAGCGGGCACGGCTCCCGTCTCTCCAGGGGACGCCCGGTGGGACACTTGGCTCTGGCGGGGGTCGAAGGAAGGTGCTGGATTCATAGGGGTGAAGGGGACCCTGGGGTTCTTTGGCGGTCAGGCCGGGGCGGCTGCGGCTCTTGTGAGTGTCATGTCTCCCCCAGGCCCTGGCACCCGTCCACGAGGAGGTCACCCTCCTGCACGCGTGGGGCCGTGGCCTGGGCTCCCCAGGTGTGGAGGGGACACTGGGAACAGGTGGTCTGGGCTCCCCAGGTGTGGAGGGGACACTGGGTGGGAACAGGTGGGCCTGGGCTCCCCAGGTGTGGAGGGGACACTGGGAG